TGTGGTGAAGAAGGCGCAACAGCGCCTCTTCAAACTCAGGAGGCTGAAGAAATTTGTCTTGGCACCTAAAACCTTCACAAACTTTTACAGATGCACAATTGAGAGCATCCTGTCGGGCTGTATCACCGCCTGGTGCTGCAACTGCACCACACGCGACCGCAGGGCTCTCCAGAGGGTGCTGCGGTCTGCCCAACGCATCACCGGGGAAAACTACCTGCCCTCCATGACACCTACAGCACCCGATGTCATAGGAAGGCCAAAAAGATGATCAAGGACAACAACCACCCGAGCCACGGCCTGTTCACACCGCTATCATCCAGAAGGCGAGGTCAGTACAGGTGCATCAAAGCTGGGACCGAGAAACTGAAAAACAGCTTCTATCTCAAGGCCATCAGACTGTTAAATAGCCATCACTAGGCGGCTTCCACCCGGTTACGCAACCCTGCACCTTAGAGGCTGCTGCCCTATATATATAGACTTGAAATCACTGGCCACTTTAATAATGGAACGTTAGTCACTTTAATAATGTTTACATATTTTAGCTTTACTCATCTCATATGTATATGCTGTATTCTATTCTATTCTACTGTATTTTAGTCTATGCCACTCCGACATTGCTCGTCCTAATATTTATATATTTCTTAATTCCATTCTTCTACTTTTAGATTTGTGTATTGTGTATATTGTTGTGAAATGTTAGATACTACTGCACTGTTGGAGCTAGAAACACAAGCATTTCGCTACACCCGCAATAACATCTGCTAAATATGTGTATGTTTGATTTGATTTGATTTGGTAACTCGGTCTGAGGGCCTAAGGGCCTGGGACAGAGAGGGACTAGCTAAATGCAGTCCAGAGAAAAAGCTGCTTTGCTTGCACTGTGTACCTCTGACGATAATGGGGTTAGATTACAGAAATTATTTATGCTTGAATGCTCCCCAAAACGTTTTCCTTGGACAAATGCAGCCAAACCAATGTATTAGACTGTAGTGAAAAACAAACAAACCATCGCTTCAAGTTCAGCATCCCAGGCGTAATATGGAAAAAGTGGCTTATCCTTAAACTAAGGCACTCTCACCAGAAAATGGATTAATTTTATTAAATATACTGAACAAAAATATATATACAACATGTAAAGTGTTGGTCCCACGTCTCATGAGCTGAAATAAAAGATTTTCCACATGCACAATAAGCTTATTTCTCTCAAATTCTGTGCACAAATTTGTTTACATCCCTGTTAGTGAGCATTTCTCCTTTGCCTAGGTAATCCATCCACCTGACAGGTGTGGCATATCAATAAGCTGATTAAACAGCATGATCATTACACAGGTGAAGCTTGTGCTGGGGACAATAAAGGTCACTGTAAAATGTGCAGTTTTGTCACACAACACAATGCCACAGATGTCTCATGTTTTGAGGGAGCATGCAATTGGCATGCTGACTGGAGGAATGTCCACCAGAGCTGTTGCCAGATATTTGAATGTTAATTTCTCTACCATAAGCCACCTCCAACGTCATTTTAGAGAATTTGGCAGTACGTCCAACCGGCCTCACAACCACAGACCATGTTTAACCACACCAGCCCAGGACCTCCACATCCGGCTTCTTCACCTGCGGTATCGTCTGAGACCAGCCGCCCGGACAGCTGATGAAACTGAGGAGTATTTCTGTCTGTAAGAAAGCCCTTTTGTGGGGGAAAATTAATTCTGATTGGCTGGGCCAGCTCCCCAGTGTGTGGGCCTGGCCCCCAAGTAGGTGGGCCTATGTCCTCGCAGGCCCACCCATGGCTGCGCCCCTGCCCAGTCATGTGAAATCCATAGATTCTGGCCCAATGAATTTATTTCAATTGACTGATTTCCTTATATGAACTGTAACTCAGTAAAATCATTGAAATTGTTGCATGTTGCGTTTATATTTTTGTTCAGTGTAGTTTCATTCACTAGTACTTTATGCATAGCAAAGTAGTATTGACAAGCTATTAGACCCAGATAGAATTCAGAATAAATTCAATGAGGTAATGTTTAGAGCCCATTATACACAAACCAGGGCTGATATGAGAAGTGGCACCGGAGAAGATGGCTGCCGTTTTACAGCCCTCTAACCAATTGTACTATTATGTGTGTTTTTTTGCGTTATTTGTAATTTATTCTGTACATAATGTTTCTGCCACCGTCTCTTATGACCAAAAAGAGCTTCTGGATATCAGGACAGCGATTATTCACCTCGTATTGGACAAAGATTTTTTCTTCAACGAGCCGGACGCGAAGGATATCCTACAGACACCCGACAAGGCCCAAATCCCCGTCATTGCATGAGAAAGAGACAGAGATATCATGGACGTAGGTCGGGGTCCCTTGTAAGGATCCGACGGCGAGCGAGTAAACTGCCTCTTCCATCAATCCTATTAGCCAATGTTCAATCATTTGAGAATAAATTGGACGACCTAAGATTACGGTTATCCTACCAACGGGACATTAAAAACTGTAATATCTTATGTTTCACCGAGTCGTGGCTGAACGACGACATGGACAACATACAGCTGACGGAATATACGCTACATCGGCAGGATAGAACGGCTGAGTCCGGTAAGACAAGGGTTGGCGGTCTGTGTATATTTGTAAACAACAGCTGGTGCACTAAATCTAATACTAAGGAAGTCTCAAGGTTTTGCTCGCCTGAGGTAGAGTATCTCATGATAAACTGTAGACCACACTATTTACCAAGCTCAGTTGGTAGAGCATGGCGTTTGCAACGCCAGGGTTGTGGGTTTGATTCCCACGGGGGGCCAGTATGAAAATAAAAAAGAATAATGTATGCACTAACTGTAAGTCGCTCTGGATAAGAGCGTCTGCTAAATGACGTAAAATGTAAAAAAATAAAAATAAAATACCAGGCAGTGTCAGAGGAAGGCCCTCAAAATTGTCAAAGACTCCAGCCACCCTAGTCATAAACTGTTCTCTCTGCTACCACACGGCAAGTGGTACCGGAGCGCCAAGTCTAGGTCCAAAAGGCTTCTCAACAGCTTCTACCCCCAAGCCATAAGACTCCTAAATAGCTAATCATTGCTACCCGGACTATTTGCACTGCCCCCCCACCCCCCTCTTTTACGCTGCTGCTACTCTGTCGATTATTTATGCATAGTCACTTTAACTCTACCCACATGTACATATTACCTCAATTACCTCGACTAGCCGGTGCCCCCGGACATTGACTCTGCACCGGTACCCCCCTGTATATAGCCTCCCTACTGTTATTTTGTTTTACTGCTGCTTGTTTTACTGTAGTTTTGTTTTTTAAACACTTTTTAAAAAAGTTTAAAAAATGCATTGTTGGTTATGGGCTTGTAAGTAAGCATTTCACTGTAATGTCTACACCTGTTGTATTCGGCGCATGTGGCAAATACAATTTGATTTGATTTGATTTGAAGTGGGCCAGACCCTTATAGGACGAGAATTGACCCCTCCCCCTTGGCTGTGACACAGACTGTCTTTGTGAGTAACTGGAAGAGACATGGCTCACCTCGATAGCATCAGACATCTGGACCTCTGTAACCCTTTGAATCTTGCTCCAAGCCTCTGAGTCTGTGAACTAATCACACTGTGTCTATCTCACCATCAGGTCATATAAATGTCATAAGGACGACGATGACTGTACTCATGTTATAACCAATGGAAATACTAATCCACGGTCCTGGCTTTAGAAAGAGTTGGGTGACAAGACTGTCCCGGTATGCACACGGTGTGTGTGTGTGTTTCAGATGAATGAATGTACATCAGCTGTTCCGGATGACTATGTGATCACGCTCTCCGTAGCCGATGTGAGTAAGACTTTTAAGCAGGTCAACATTCACAAGGCCGCAGGGCCAGATGGATTACCAGGACATGTACTCCGAGCATGTGCTGACCAACTAGCAAGTGTCTTCACTGACATTTTCAACATGTCCCTGACTGAGTCTGTAATACCAACATGTTTCAAGCAGACCACCATAGTCCCTGTGCCCAAGGACACTAAGATAACCTGCCTAAATGACTACCGACCCGTAGTACTCACGTCTGTAGCCATGAAGTGCTTTGAAAGGCTCACATCAACACCATTATCCCAGAAACCCTAGACCCACTCCAATTTGCATACCGCCCCAACAGATCCACAGATGATACAATCTCTATTGCACTCCACACTGCCCTTTCCCACCTGGACAAGAGGAACACCTACGTGAGAATGCTGTTCATTGACACGGTGTGTGTGTGTGTGTGTGTGTGTGTGTGTTTCAGATGAATGAATGTGCTGGTAGGCACACAAACAAACATATGCATATGCACACAAGCCCAGGAAAGAGTGAAATATTAATGTTCCCGTCAGCAAGGCTTTTCTCTGGTTCCGTTCTCTCTCTCTTTAGTCAATGAACAATGGCGCTTGTATCCTCTACTTTTAAACATATCTATCCAGATCATGGATAAAATGAGTTTCATTAAGAATAAGCTACTATTAGACTATACAGTACTTTGTATCCATATCATCACAAAATGATTTTTCATTCAATCTAAACTCTCAAGCATATGTTATGTTATTTGAACTGAGAATAATGAATAATGCAGTCATTGGAAGATTTGACCTGGCACAGATTATTTTGGCCACATTTTACTGTGGTAACAGAGTAACACTTTTCCGACCGAATGATTCTGGGGACATTCCTCCAGGTCTTCCATCTGTCACGTTCCGTTCCCAACCGGAAAACCATCATCTGCCCACCTGAAAAGTTATTCTCCTTTCATAAGTGCCTGTAGCAGTGGACCTCTGGTCTCCCGTCCAGGTTGTTGTTAGTGCACAGTACAGAATAAAAAGTAAATGCATTTCGCTACACCCGCAATAACAACTGCTAAATATGTGTATGTGACCAATACAATTAGATTTGTTTCGATGTTCAGAGAGCTGGACCTGACCGACAACTTTATGTGTGTGTCTGTGTGTTTTGTAGCGTCTGAGACGGAGCCTGCCTCCAGGCCTACTGAGAAGGATCTCTACATGGACCACCACCACCTCAGCTACAGGTCTGCCCACCATAGAACCAGGACCTGTACGCAGAGACCGCTCTGCCAGCATCAAACCCCTCCACGACAGTCCACCATGCAGGTAGCATGCACTATCCCCTACTACCTTTTTCTCTCCATCTCTCTCTCTCAATTCAATTTCAATTTCAATTCAATTTGAATTCAATTCAATTCAATTTCAATTCAATTCAATTTCAATTCAATTTCAATTCAATTCAATTTCAATTTAATTTAAGGGCTTTATTGGCATGGGAAACGTGTGTTAACATTGCCAAAGCAAGTGAAGTAGATAGTAAACAAAAGTGAAATAAACAATAAATATTAACAGTAAACATTACACTCAGAAGTTTCAAAAGAATAAAGACATTTCAAATGTCATATTATGTATATATACAGTGTTGTAACAATGTGCAAATAGTTAAAGTACAAATGGGAAAATAAATAAACATAAATATTGGTTGTATTTACAATGATGTTTGTTCTTCACTGGTTGCCCTTTTCTTGTGGCAACAGGTCACAAATCTTGCAGCTGTGATGGCACACTGGTTTTTTACCCAGTAGATAAGGGAGTTTATCAAAATTGGGTTTGTTTTCGAATTCTTTGTGGATCGCTGTAATCTGAGGCAAATATGTGTCTCTAATATGGTCATACATTTGGCAGGAGGTTAGGAAGTGCAGCTCAGTTTCCATCTCATTTTGTGGGAAGTGTGCACATAGCCTGTCTTCTCTTGAGAGCCAGGTCTGCCTACGGCGGCCTTTCTCAATAGCAAGGCTATGCTCACTGAGTCTGTACATAGTCAAAGCTTTCCTTAAGTTTGGGTCTGTCACAGTGGTCAGGTATTCTGCCACTGTGTACTCTCTGTTTAGGGCCAAATAGCATTCTAGTTAGCTCTGTTTTTTTGTTTGTTCTTTCCAATGTGTCAAGTAATTCTCTTTTTGTTTTCTCATGATTTGGTTGGGTCTAATTGTGTTGTTGTTGTTGTTGTTGTCCTGGGGCTGTGTGGGGTCTGTTTGTGTTTGTGAACAGAGCCCCAGGACAAGCTTACTTAGGGGACTCTTCTCCAAGTTCATCTCTCTGTAGGTGATGGCTTTGTTATGGAAGGTTTGGGAATCGCTTCCTTTTAAGTGGTTATAGAATTTAACGGCTCTTTTCTGGATTTTGATAATTAGCGGGTATTGGCCTAATTCTGCTCTGCATGCATTATTTGGTGTTTTACGTTGTACATTGTTCTCTCTCTCTCTCTCTCTTTCTCCTTCTCCCTCTCTCACTCCTAGACAACCACTATGCAGGTAGCAGCCCCTCTCCTCTTCGATAGACTCCCTCTCTCTCTGTTCGTCATTTTTTATTTTTTATTTTTTACATTTTTAGTCATTTAGCAGACGCTCTTATCCAGAGCGACTTACAGTTAGTGAGTGCATACATTTTCATACTGGCCCCCTGTGGGAAACGAACCCACAACCCTGGTGTTGCAAGCGCCATGCTCTACCAACTGCCATGCTCTACGTCCAGACATCAGACTTGCTTCCTGCTGCTCGAGATGCTTTTCGAAGGGGTCATCCTGAGGCCAGCAGTCCTCATAAGGCCCTCCCCAGCTGCAAACCTTCCTCCTTTATTGCCCGTCACAGTAGTGAAATATTAGACCTATAATGCACGCGCAACACTGACATATTTTCTTAGTCGTGAATGATGGATGGGTCATGTGGGAGTTTGAACTGGAGAATGTAGGATGTTATATGTGTATGTCTGTCTTTGAAGGAGACTGGTCTGTTTGTGGCTCCAGTCCTGTGGAGTGCTCCTCCAAGGCAGCTGGCCTACATCTGTACAGAAAGACAGAGTTTTAGCGTCCAGCAGTCTGTTGCCCAATCCTAAACTGACCCTAGTCCTCTACTTCCTACCCTTTACTCTCTAACCCCTACCTCCTAGCACTTTGTAGATCCTAAAGATTTGGATATGAGATGATAGGATTCTTTGTAAGGAACATGCAGAATGAACCACCTAACCTGAGATGATAGGATTCTTTGTAAGGAACATGCAGAATAAACCACCTAACTTGAGATGAAAGGATTCTTTGTAAGGAACATGCAGAATGAACCACTTAACCTGAGATGATAGGATTCTTTGTAAGGAACATGCAGCATAAACCACCTAACCTGAGATGATAGGATTATTTGTAAGGAACATGCAGAATAAACCACCTAACCTGAGATGATAGGATTATTTGAGACATAAAGACGATAATGCAAACCACTTTTGGGATTCATTCCATTTCCACTCTGTGTCAGGCTCAGAACTAGCTGTTCTCTCCGGGGACCAATCTGTGTTGTTCTGGCCAAAACAACATCCCTTTTGGTGCTATTATTTATCATCTAAATTGTTCCTCTGTTTGAGATATTGGTTGAAGGTCAGAGTTGAACAGTTAATCCTGAAGTCAGATGGGTATCTGCAGACTTCAGTCTGGCTCTTTCGCGGCTTCCTGGAGACTAAACGTTCTAGAATAAATGTCCCAGGGAGATTTTTATCCTGTCTGTCAGAGTGGGCTTAAAATACTGCTGGGGTCACCACTCAGTACACTCATAGAAAAAAGGGTTCCAAAAGGGTTATTTGGTTGTCTCCATAGGATAATTAGTTTTGGTTCCATCTGTGGAAATGGTTCTACATGGAACCCAAAAGGGTTCTTCAAAGGGTTCTCCTATGGGGACAGCCGAAGAACCCTTTTAGGTTCTAGATAGCACTTTTTGTTTCTAAGAGTGTAGGGCTCATTTCATGGAGATGATGGTATTATGGTAGTGTCTGATCTAACTGTAATTGGAGAAAGTATACTGTCGCTCTAGGAACAAACTGGATGTGTACGAGATTTTCAGCCACGCTTCAGGGACAATGGAAGTTGAATAGATGCTCTGTTTAATTGCAAAAAGCAACACAGTTCAGTATAACATGGTTCAACAGACTGCTTCCTTTTACAGTGCAGACTGTGGTTGTGATATCCTGTGTGTTAGAGTATTGTGACTTACTGAGGTTTTGATATCCTGTGTGTTTTCCAGCATGGTGAACAGTGAGTCGTGGAACAGCGCTGTAATGCTCACCATCTCTAAGAGTCGCTCCATGTCTGCCTCCTACGCTGCTTCAGCCACCTCCAACCACCTCTACAACAGACGAATGACCAGACCAGGTGTGTGTGTGCGTGTGTGTGTGTGTGTGTGTGTGTGTGTGTGTGTGTGTGTGTGTGTGAGCAGATGCTGAGTGAAATTCAAATTTTACGGGGCCATGTAAGAGATGCAAGAGACGGGTTACCCATTCTCTGTCCATTCAGTGTGTGTTTGTGCCTATGTTGGTGCATGTGTGCATGTGTGTGTGCATGTGTGTAATTGTGTGTGGGCAGTTCTATTTAGTCTTTGTTTAAATCATGATCTGATTTGTTACATTTTGCTGAATCAGTCTTCCCTCCTAATAACCCTGTTCTCTCTTCAGGTTACCCCCCCTCCAACATATCACCTCTGGCCTCTCCCTGCCACTCCCCTCCGGTCCAGGGGACCCCTGTCTCCAGCCCCACCACCAAGTCCTGCTCTGTGGACCTACCGGACCCTGTGGACAGCCAGGGAGAGAGGCCTATGGCCCCCCGGGCCCCACACAGAGCTTTAACACACAGCATCAGTGCACCTAGCTCCACCACACCGCACTGGGGGCCACCATCGCTCTGCAGCAGGTAACACACACACATGTGGACATACACACATTCTTATATATATACACAAAACAGATACTGTCCTTTTTGCTGTCACAAAGAGGTACCTCATACAGAACATACACACAGATAAAAGATTGAACATTGCATTCTTGCCCGTTACTTCACTGATAATTGGCAGCGTTGTCTAGAAGACACTGAAGCAGAGACTGAGGAAGTTGTGCATGTAGCTAGCTATAAGCTCAGCCTCGCTGAATCGGAGATGAGACATTGTTTAATGGCATTATGCTGGTTCACTGTCCTGTGTGTGTTTCTGTTCTGTCTGTTCGCGAGTGCATGTGTGTGTCTTACAATGGGAGAGAGATGAGTAACCAGTCACGTCATGAGCCTGTACTGAGAGAGGACAGAGAGCGAGAGCGAGACAGATAGAGGGGGAGGGAGACAAGGAGAGATGAAGAGACTTCCTCTGAGGCACATGGACTCACGCCAGAGAAAGAGAGAGAGGAGTTAGACAGTCAAAGAGAGAGAGAAATAGATAGAAAGAGACTTCCTCTGAGGCATTTGGACTCACGCCAGAGAGTCACAGAGAAGGTTCCGCTGCAATGTTCTAAGACAAGAGGACATGGATAAGGAGTACAGGTTGTCTTTATAGCGGCAACAAGATGTTACAACAAGAAATACATAAAGACAATGATGAAGGGCACAATGTGGGAGGGTTATAAGTGTTGAGATGGCGGACATAAAAGAAACGATAAAGTAAGTGATGGAGGCCAGGGCTGTGTTGTTGACATGGGAAGGGAGTACTGGGGTGTATTCACTAGGAACTAAACGGAAACAAACGGGGAGGGACCTACCTGAACTTGTCCAATAGAAACTCTCGTTTTCGTTGCACTAGTGGATATGATTGGCTGAGAGAAATTGATGATAAAAGATTGTGGGAGCTGTTTTGTTAGACCTCAGTGCGGCTTTTGACATTATCGACATCTAACAGAAGACAGAGGGTGTTCTTTAATGAAAGCCTATCCAACATAATCCAGGTTGAATCAGTAATTCCCCAGCGCAGCTGTCTAGGCCCTTTTCTGTTTTTCAATCTTTACTAATGTCATGCCACTGGCTTTGAGTAAAGCCAGTGTGTTATGTATTCAGATGACTCAACACTATACACGTCAGCTACTACAGGGAGTGAAATTACTGCAACACTTAACAAAGAGCTGCAGTCAGTTTCAGAATGGGTGTCAAGAAATAAGTTAGTCCTAAATATTTCAAAAACTAAAAGCATTGTATTTGGGTTAAATCATTCACTAAACCCTAAACCTCAACTAAATATTGTAATGAATAATGTGGAAATTGAGCAAATAGAGGTGAGTAAACTGCTTGGAGTAACCCTGGATTGTAAACTGTTATGGTCAAAACATGTTGATGCAACAGTAGCTAAGATGGGGAGAAGTCTGTCCATAATAAAGCGCTGCTCTGCCTTCTTAAGAACACTATCAACAAGGCAGGTCCTACAGGCCCTAGTTTTGTCGCACCTGGACTACTGTCCAGTCATGTGGTCAGGTGCCATAAAGAAGGACTTAGGAAAACTACAATTGGCTCAGAACAGGGCAGCACGGCTGGCCCTTAAATGTACATGGAGTGCTAACATTAATAATATTCATGTCAATCTCTCATGGCTCAAAGTAGAGGAGAGATTGACTTCATCACTACTTGTTTTTGTAAGAAGTATTGACATGCTGAATGCACCGAGCTGTCTGTTTAAACTACTAGCACACAGCTCAGACACTCATGCATACCCCACAAGACATGCCACCAGAGGTCTCTTCACAATCCCCAAGTCCAGAACAGACGATGGGAGGCGCACAGTACTACATAGAGCCATGGCTACATGGAACTCTATTCCACATCAAGTAACTAATGCAAGCAGTAGAATCAGATTTAAAAAACAGATAAAAATACACCTTATGGAACAGCGAGGACTGTGAAGAGACACATACACAGGCACAGACACACGCATACACATACACATACACACGATAACACACACACTCTACACACACGTACACATGGATTTTGTATTGTAGATATGTAGAAGTAGAGTAGTGGCCTGAGGGCACACACTTAATGTGTTATGAAAACTGTTATGAAATGTAATGTCATGTAATATTTTTTATTCTATATAACTACCTTAATGTTGCTGGACCCCAGGAAGAGTAGCTGCTGCCTTGGCAGCAGCTAATGGGGATCCATAATAAATAAAAATACAAAAATACACCCCTGGATCTGGTTGTGTTGAAAGGAATAATGTTGTTGATCCTGGTTCAGCTAGAACAGCTGGTCTGATGATCTGAGAAGTGATCACTAATCTGGACTCTTTAGCCTTTTAACTGGCCTTGCTTCCTCTAATGCTACTGAGGCGGTTAACTCCTCTCTTATCCTCTTGTTCTCTTTTCTCCTCTCCCATGAGATATGAATGGAGAGCCTTTTTTAAATTGTAGTTGTTTACATGTTTGAATATCCTTTGTTTATCTCTCAGCTGTGGTAGACCGTACAGCAGGCTGAGCCATGGGGAGGGATCTATTGACAAAGGGGACAGAATACCCCACCCTGGTAAGCAGTAAAAGGACACTATTATCTACTTAAGCAATAAGGCCCGAGAGAGTGTGGTATATGGCCAATATACCACGGCTAAGGGCTGTTCATAAGCACGATGCAACGCGGAGTGCCTGGATACAGCTCTTAGCCGTGGTATTTTGGCCATATACCACAAACCCCCTGAGGTGCCTAATTGCTATTATAAACTGTTACCAACGTAATTAGAGCAGTAAAAATAACTGTTTTGTCATACCTGTGGTATACATCTATATACCACGACTGCCAGCCAATCAGCATCAGAGCTTGAACCACCCAGTTTTAATTTCCTATATGTCAGTCTTCCCTCCTATGACCCTGTTTCCTGTCAGGTCCCCCTCCTACACCCCCCCCTGGCCTCCCGCACTCCCCTCCGTCCGGACCCCTGTCCTCAGCCCACCACCAACCTGTCTGTGGACCTACCGACCCTGTGGACAGCCAGGAAGGGCCATGGCCCCCCGGGCCCCACACAGAGCTTTAACACACAGCATCAGTGCACCTAGCTCCACCACAACCGACTGGGGGCCACCATCGCTCTGCAGCAGGTACACCACACACCATGTGGACATACACACATTCTTATATATATAACACAAAACAGATACTGTCTTTTGCTGTCACAAAGAGGTACCTCATACAGAACATACACACAGATAAAAGATTGAACATTGCATTCTTGCCCGTTACTTCACTGATAATTGGCAGCGTTGTCTAGAAGACACTGAAGCAGAGACTGAGGAAGTTGTGCATGTAGCTAGCTATAAGCTCAGCCTCGCTGAATCGGAGATGAGACATTGTTTAATGGCATTATGCTGGTTCACTGTCCTGTGTGTGTTTCTGTTCTGTCTGTTCGCGAGTGCATGTGTGTGTCTTACAATGGGAGAGAGATGAGTAACCAGTCACGTCATGAGCCTGTACTGAGAGAGGACAGAGAGCGAGAGCGAGACAGATAGAGGGGGAGGGAGACAAGGAGAGATGAAGAGACTTCCTCTGAGGCACATGGACTCACGCCAGAGAAAGAGAGAGAGGAGTTAGACAGTCAAAGAGAGAGAGAAATAGATAGAAAGAGACTTCCTCTGAGGCATTTGGACTCACGCCAGAGAGTCACAGAGAAGGTTCCGCTGCAATGTTCTAAGACAAGAGGACATGGATAAGGAGTACAGGTTGTCTTTATAGCGGCAACAAGATGTTACAACAAGAAATACATAAAGACAATGATGAAGGGCACAATGTGGGAGGGTTATAAGTGTTGAGATGGCGGACATAAAAGAAACGATAAAGTAAGTGATGGAGGCCAGGGCTGTGTTGTTGACATGGGAAGGGAGTACTGGGGTGTATTCACTAGGAACTAAACGGAAACAAACGGGGAGGGACCTACCTGAACTTGTCCAATAGAAACTCTCGTTTTCGTTGCACTAGTGGATATGATTGGCTGAGAGAAATTGATGATAAAAGATTGTGGGAGCTGTTTTGTTAGACCTCAGTGCGGCTTTTGACATTATCGACATCTAACAGAAGACAGAGGGTGTTCTTTAATGAAAGCCTATCCAACATAATCCAGGTTGAATCAGTAATTCCCCAGCGCAGCTGTCTAGGCCCTTTTCTGTTTTTCAATCTTTACTAATGTCATGCCACTGGCTTTGAGTAAAGCCAGTGTGTTATGTATTCAGATGACTCAACACTATACACGTCAGCTACTACAGGGAGTGAAATTACTGCAACACTTAACAAAGAGCTGCAGTCAGTTTCAGAATGGGTGTCAAGAAATAAGTTAGTCCTAAATATTTCAAAAACTAAAAGCATTGTATTGGGTTAAATCATTCACTAAACCCTAAACCTCAACTAAATATTGTAATGAATAATGTGGAAATTGAGCAAATTGAGGTGAGTAAACTGCTTGGAGTAACCCTGGATTGTAAACTGTTATGGTCAAAACATGTTGATGCAACAGTAGCTAAGATGGGGAGAAGTCTGTCCATAATAAAGCGCTGCTCTGCCTTCTTAAGAACACTATCAACAAGGCAGGTCCTACAGGCCCTAGTTTTGTCGCACCTGGACTACTGTCCAGTCATGTGGTCAGGTGCCATAAAGAAGGACTTAGGAAAACTACAATTGGCTCAGAACAGGGCAGCACGGCTGGCCCTTAAATGTACATGGAGTGCTAACATTAATAATATTCATGTCAATCTCTCATGGCTCAAAGTAGAGGAGAGATTGACTTCATCACTACTTGTTTTTGTAAGAAGTATTGACATGCTGAATGCACCGAGCTGTCTGTTTAAACTACTAGCACACAGCTCAGACACTCATGCATACCCCACAAGACATGCCACCAGAGGTCTCTTCACAATCCCCAAGTCCAGAACAGACGATGGGAGGCGCACAGTACTACATAGAGCCATGGCTACATGGAACTCTATTCCACATCAAGTAACTAATGCAAGCAGTAGAATCAGATTTAAAAAACAGATAAAAATACACCTTATGGAACAGCGAGGACTGTGAAGAGACACATACACAGGCACAGACACACGCATACACATACACATACACACGATAACACACACACTCTACACACACGTACACATGGATTTTGTATTGTAGATATGTAGAAGTAGAGTAGTGGCCTGAGGGCACACACTTAATGTGTTATGAAAACTGTTATGAAATGTAATGTCATGTAATATTTTTATTCTATATAACTACCTTAATGTTGCTGGACCCCAGGAAGAGTAGCTGCTGCCTTGGCAGCAGCTAATGGGGATCCATAATAAATAAAAATACAAAAATACACCCCTGGATCTGGTTGTGTTGAAAGGAATAATGTTGTTGATCCTGGTTCAGCTAGAACAGCTGGTCTGATGATCTGAGAAGTGATCACTAATCTGGACTCTTTAGCCTTTTAACTGGCCTTGCTTCCTCTAATGCTACTGAGGCGGTTAACTCCTCTCTTATCCTCTTGTTCTCTTTTCTCCTCTCCCATGAGATATGAATGGAGAGCCTTTTTTAAATTGTAGTTGTTTACATGTTTGAATATCCTTTGTTTATCTCTCAGCTGTGGTAGACCGTACAGCAGGCTGAGCCATGGGGAGGGATCTATTGACAAAGGGGACAGAATACCCCACCCTGGTAAGCAGTAAAAGGACACTATTATCTACTTAAGCAATAAGGCCCGAGAGAGTGTGGTATATGGCCAATATACCACGGCTAAGGGCTGTTCATAAGCACGATGCAACGCGGAGTGCCTGGATACAGCTCTTAGCCGTGGTATTTTGGCCATATACCACAAACCCCCTGAGGTGCCTAATTGCTATTATAAACTTGTTACCAACGTAATTAGAGCAGTAAAAATAACTGTTTTGTCATACCTGTGGTATACCATCTGATATACCACGACTGCCAGCCAATCAGCATTCAGAGCTTGAACCACCCAGTTTATAATTCTCCATATATGTCTTGCCTCTTAGTGTTACATTTCTATCTGCCACATCGTGAACGTGTCAACCACCTGACTTAACCCCTGACCCCTGATCTGTCCTGTCCAATAAGATGACCCGGCAGTGGCGTCGTCAGACTATGAGAGCACCTACGAGACCAACCACAGTGACAGCAGTGACTTTGCACAGAACGAGGAGGACAGGGAGGGGGTCAAGAATCCCTCGGACACCCAGGATGGGTGCAGGTCGTACCAGCCTGAGGGCATCGTCCTGCACCCCCTACTGCCACCTCCAGAGGTAGGTTCCACTATAGAAATGCATTGAGTGGAATGAAAATGGGTCTACAAATAGGCTAAACATTTCATGGCTGCAATATCAATCAATCAACACATTATGAAATTATGCATTTGATTCGAAGAGGAAATACCAAATAACACGCTATTTCCCTATACAGTGCACTACCCTACTTGTAACAAACTATTTCCCATAGCCACTTGAAATGACACCTGACCCTTGATCCTGACCCCTGACATCTAGGACACACAGCCCATCCTGGCCCCAGAGCCTCTGGTGATGTCAGAGCTGGATCCTCTGATGACTCAACTCAACAGCTGGAACTTCCCCATCTTCAACCTGGTGGAGAAAACACACGGCCGCTCAGGATGCATCCTCAGCCAGGTGAGAACAGGCCTCAGCCAGGTGACAACATGCTACAGCCAGGTGAGACTTAGCTAGGTGAGACTTAGCTAGGTGAGAACCAGTGAGTACAGATGAGAACAGCGCATCTTCAACCTGGCGGAGAAGACACACTGACAGTCTGGCTGCATCCTCAGCCAGGTAAGGATAGAAACAGCCTTAGTCAGGTGAGGACAGGTGAGACTTAGCTAGGTGAGGATAGTCTTCAACCGGGTGGAGAAAACCCACGGCCGATTAGGCTGCATCCTCAGCCAGGTAAGGTTAGCCACTGTAGAGCCAAGTGAGAAAATCCCAGACCCATCCAGGTAAGGATAGGTATACAGGTATGAATACTGCGGAAAAAACAGTCCAAGTGAGAATGGCTCAGACTTCAAATCAAACTTTAATTAAAATTCATTTAAAATTGCAACACAATTAAGAAAATACATTACGACAATACAATGAAATAAAAAGCTAACAGGAAGCTGTAAAAAGGATGAATAAAAATAACATAGAACACAGATGATGTTAAAACAGTCACTGATTAAAGGCCAAGCTAAAAAGGTGGGGTTTTAAACATGATGTAAAAGCCTCAATGGTGTCTGCCCCTCTTACCTGACAGCGCAAGCTGTTCCATAACTGAGGGGCTTGATAGATAGAGAATGATCTGCTTCCGGATTTGTCCATCGAGTGAAGACTGTGAATAAAGCACTGTGAATAAAGCACTGTGAGATATGGGTGGGATTACACTGCCATCTACTGGTTGAAACAGGAGTTACAAGTTATTGGAATTGCAGTGTACTGCAAACCAAGACAGCAGTAGGGTCATTCCACGAAATTAGTCCCATTTGGGTGGTGTAACTTGGTGAAAAACAACTTTTTATTTCACCTAATTTTAACATTCTGTCATGAAGAGCACATGTTCAACTTAATAAAAAACATGTTCTCCGATCTCTAGAGGTTAATAAAAAATGATATAGTAAGTGCCTATTAAGTGCCAAATAAAGTAAGAGTTGACCGTAACAGGGTTGACGATTTCATCTTAAATCAGCCAGAAATGTCCTTGTGACAGGTGGAATGGAAGATTGTTGTGTGCAACAGGGAGGGCCAATTGAACGCAAGCTTCACCAACAAAAATCAAATTGTTAAAGTAACTGTCAGTGTTTCCAGATTTCTATGAAATATGACCTATAATGAATTACAATATGAGTGAAATAGTGTTAATTAAGTATGTAAAAAAAACATATTTTCTGTGTTCGAATGGTGGTCTACTCATAACAGAATATGAGTAGACCACTGATTGGCCAGCTCATCCCCTATGAGGAAATAGCAAGCATTTTTGAAACAGTCTGTTTGAGATACAGATTTGAGGTGGGGGTTTTATGTGTTTTTCTTCTCCAATTTATGCTTTGGCCACAAATACGAGTATAGGATGAGTCAACAACATTATTTGGGTATGAGTTAACAGAATATAACATTTTAAAAGTGAGATTTTCACTGTAAAGTTACTTTAAAACATTTCTAGACTGTTTATCTATCTATGGGTAACAGGGTTGACGTGTTATGCTCGACCCACTAAGTTTCCCAACACAAAGCACCAGAAAATGGCCAGAAAGAGTAGACCCAGCTCACCTGCTTTTACAATATGATTTGATTATTAGATGTAAAAAAATTATTTTGAAACAAATATTTAAAAGGAATAATTTCACCATATTAAAACAAGAATTCAGTTCACTTAACAGGGCTGACCTTAAAATGAGGGACGGGTTGTTGGTTTTTGACCTTAAAATGAATCACTAATCACATGAAATAAATAAAAAGCTTTGACTTTATCAAAGCAACAAAATAACTAGGGCTTTACTATGACGGTGAAAACTTGGAGAGATTTTGGGATTAAATGGGTTAAAATCTTGCTAGAAGTTACATATGGTGCACAGAGGCATAGCCACGGCAAGTAGTGGTGCTGAGGTGCTGCAGCACTGACAAATCAGAATACATTTTTGTATTAATAAACATTTGTATTTTGGGGGGGGGGTAATTATTTTTTCACTAAAGTAGTGCACTGGGCCTTTACATGGGCCTTTACGTGAACAAAATATGCACACGTGGCTACATGCAGCTCTCGCTTTTATCTCAAAACAAATGCATCTACTCACAACTGCTCATTCTGTAAACACAGTCCAGTTCAAAGTAAATAGCACAGATCCATATGTGGCAATGGTCTATTTGCATATAGGCCTACTGCAGCTCTGATTGTTAATGCCACACCAGTCTGTGTAGAGTACGGGCTGAGTAGTGCATGTCAATGCAATAGAATCCTACTCTGATGCGTTCTGCCTACAACAAAATATCTTGCATAGTTCGTTTTGTTTTGGTATGTTGCCTTGAAAATGGTGCCGGAGAGGATAGCTGCCGTTTTACAGCCCTCTAACCAATTGTGTTTTTTCGCGTTATTTGTAATTTATTCTGTACATAATGTTTCTGCCATCGTCTCTTATAACCAAAACGAGTTTATGGATATCAGGACAGTGATTACTCACCTCGTATTGGACAAAGATTTTTTCTTCAACGAGTCGGACGCGAAGGATTTCCAACAGACACCCGACAAGGCCCAAATCCCTGTCATTCGCAGGAGAAGGAGATATCATGGACGTAGGTCGGGGTGCCTTGTAAGGATCCGACGGCGAGCGAGTAAACTGCCTCTTCCATCAAGCCTATTAGCCAATGTTCAATCATTTGAAAATAAATTAGATTACCTAAGATTAAGGTTATCCTACCAACGGGACATTAAAAACTGTAATATCTTATGTTTCACCGAGTCGTGGCTGAATGACGACATGGACAACATACAGCTGACGGGATGTATGCTACATCGGCAGGATAGAACGGCTGACTCCGGTAAGACAAGGGGTGGCGGTCTGTGTATATTTGTAAACAACAGCTGGTGCACAAAATCAAATACTAAGGAAGTCTCGTGGTTTTGCTCGCCTGAGGTAGAGTATCTTATGATAAGCTGTAGACCACACTAATAGCTGTGTATTTACCACCACAAACCAATGCTGGCATTAGATTGCACTCAATGAGCTGTATAAGGCCATAAGTAAACAGGAAAACGCTCATCCAGAGGCAGCGCTCCTAGTGGCCGGGGACTTTAATGCAGGGAAACTTAAATCCATTCTACCTCATTTCTACCAGCATGTTAAATGTGCAACCAGAGGAAAAAAAACTATAGACCACCTTTACTCCACACACAGAGAAGCATACAAAGCTCTCCCTCGCCCTCCATTTGGCAAATCTGACCATAACTCTATCTTCCTGATTCCTGCTTATAAGAAAAAACTAAAGCAGGAAGCACCAGTGACTCGGTTAATAAAAAAGTGGTCAGATGACGCAGATGCTAAGCTACAGTACTGTTTTGCTAGCACAGACTGGAACATGTTCCGGGATTCTTCAGATAGCATTGAGGAGTACACCACATCAGTCACTGGCTTCATCAATAAGTGCATCGATGACGTCGTCCCCACAGTGACCGTACGTACATACCCCAACCAGAAGCCATGGATTACAGGCAACATCCGCACTGAGCTAAAGGGTAGAGCTGCCACTTTCAAGGAGCGGGACTCTAACCCGGACGCTTATAAGAAATCCCGCTATGCCCTCTGACGAACCATCAAACAGGCAAAGAGTCAATACTGGACTAACATTGAATCGTATTACACTGGCTCTGACGCTCCTTGGATGTGGCAGGGCTTGAAAACTATTACAGACTACAAAGGGAATCACAGCCGCGAGCTGCCCAGTGACACAAGCCTACCAGACAAGCTAAACCACTTCTATGCTCGCTTCGAGGCAAGCAACACTGAAGCATGCATGAGAGCACCAGCTGTTCTGGATGACTATGTGATCACGCTCTCCGTAGCCGATGTGAGTAAGACTTTTAAGCAGGTCAACATTCACAAGGCCGCAGGGCCAGATGGATTACCAGGACGTGTACTCCGAGCATGTGCTGACCAACTGGCAAGTGTCTTCACTGACATTTTCAACATGTCCCTGACTGAGTCTGTAATACCAACATGTTTCAAGCAGACCACCATAGTCCCCGTGCCCAAGGACACTAAGATAACCTGCCTAAATTACTACCGACCCGTAGCACTGACATCTGTAGCCATGAAGTGCTTTGAAAGGCTGGTCATGGCTCACATCAACACCATTATCCCAGAAACCCTAGACCCACTCCAATTTGCATACCGCCCCAACAGATCCACAGATGATGCAATCTCTATTGCACTCCACACTGCCGTTTCCCACCTGGACAAGAGGAACACCTACGTGAGAATGCTATTAATTGACTACAGCTCAGCGTTCAACACCATAGTGCCCTCAAAGCTCATCACTAAGCTAAGGATCCTGGGACTAAACACCTCCCTCTGCAACTGGATCCTGGACTTCCTGACGGGCCGCCCCCAGGTGGTAAGAGTAGGTAACAACACATCAGCCACGCTGATCCTCAACATGGTGGTCCCTCAGGGGTGCATGCTCAGTCCCCTCCTGTACTCCCTGTTCACCCATGACTGCATGGCCAGGCACGACTCCAACACCATCATTAAGTTTGCAGACGACACAACAGTGGTAGGCCTGATCACCGACAACGATGAGACAGCCTATAGGGAGGAGGTCAGAGACCTGGCCGTGTGGTGCCAGGATAACAACCTCTCCCTCAACGTGACCAAGACAAAGGAGATGATTGTGGACTACAGGAAAAAAAAGAGGACTGAGCACGCCCCCATTCTCATCGACGGGGCTGTAGTGGAACAGGTTGAGAGCTTCAAGTTCCTTGGTGTCCACATCACCAACAAACTATCATGGTCCAAACACACCAAGACAGTCGTGAAGAGGGCATGACAAAGCCTATTCCCCCTCAGGAGACTGAAAAGATATGGCATGGGTCCTCAGATCCTCAAAAAATTCTACAGCTGCACCATCGAGAGCATCCTGACTGGTTGCATCACCGCCTGGTATGGCAACTGCTCGGCCTCCGACCGCAAGGCACTACAGAGGGTAGTGCGTACAGCCCAGTACATCACTGGGGCCAAGCTTCCTGCCATCCAGGACCTCTATACCAGGCGGTGTCAGAGGAAGGCCCTCAAAATTGTCAAAGACTCCAGCCACCCTATTCATAGACTGTTCTCTCTGCTACCGCACGGCAAGCAGTACCGGAGCGCCAGGTCTAGGTCCAAAAGGCTTCTCAACAGCTTCTACCCCCAAGCCATAAGACTCCTGAACAGCTAATCATGGCTACCCAGACTATTTGCACTGCACCCCCACCCCCACCCCATCTTTTTACGCTGCTGTACTCTGTTAATTATTTATTCATAGTCACTTTAACTCTACCCACATGTACATATTACCTCAACTACCTCAACTAGCCGGTGCCCCCGCACATTGACTCTGCACCGGTACCCCCCTGTATATAGCCTCCCTGCTGTTATTTTAGTTTACTTCTGCTCTTTTTTTTCTCAACACTTTTTTGTTGTTGTTATTTTATTTTACTTTAAAAAAAAATGCATTGTTGGTTAAGGGCTGTAGTAAGCATTTCACGGTAATGTCTACACCTGTTGTATTCGGCGCATGTGGCAAATAAAATGTGATTTGATTTGATTTGATATTGCGTTGATTCGATCACAATTGCCACAGTAAAGGGAAACATTGATAGTGTTAACAGGGAATACTCACTAATCACCTGAAATAAATAAAAAGCTTTGACATTATCAAAGCAACAAAATAACTAGGGCTTTACTATGATGGTGAAAACTTGGAGAGATTTTGGGATTAAGTGGGTTAAAATCTTGCAAGATGTCACATATGGTGCACAGAGGCATAGCCACGGGAAGTAGGGGTGCTGAGGGTGCTGCAGCACTGAAAAATCAGAATAGATTTTTGTATTAATAAACATTTGTATTTGGGGGGGGGGGGGGGGGGGGGTGATGATTATTTTTTCACTAAAGTAGTGCACTGGGCCTTTACATGGGCCTTTACGTGAACAAAATGGGCACATGTGGTTAAATGCAGCTCTCGCTTTGATCTCAAAACAAATGCATCTACTCACAACCGCTCATTCTGTAAACACAGTCCAGTTCAAAGTAAATAGCACAGATCCGTATATATGGCAATGGTCTATTTGCATATAGGCCTACTGCAGCTCTGATTGTTAATGCCACACCAGTCTGTGTAGAGTACAAGCTGAGTAGTGAGTGTCAATGCAATAGAATCCTACTCCGATGCGTTCTGCCTACAACAAAATCTCTTGCATAGTTCGTTTTGTTTCGGTATGTTGCATTGAAAGTGGTTAATATTGCGTTGGATTCGATCACAATTGCCACAGTAAAGGGAAATGTTGATAGTGTTATCAGGGAATACTCTAGAACAGTGGTAAAAAAACATTTTCTGAGTCTAGATCACTTTGAGTCAAAATGCAAGCCGAAATCTACCGCTCAGATTTTTTAAAAACATTACTTAAAAAACGTAAGCCTATAACCAATTAAAAACAGCACTGTAGCAATGAGGTTTGTGCAGTAAGCTATATGCCCAATACATTATACCCGCATATTGGCTTTGCTTGAATTGCCCTGCCAATGCATTGTTGTTCTGGACATTTTTTTAAATTATATTTTAAAAGGTCCGTTGTTGTATTACTTGTGAAGCACAGCTGAGTTAGCATACATTTAAATAATTTGCTTGTTTTATTGGGCTGATGTTGCCTGCATCTGATGGTCAGTCTCAGAGGAGGGAGCGAGCAGCAGACTGAGGGTCCGCCTCTCAACATCCCTCCGCTCCCCCTTACCATAAAGGGACACCGTCTTCCAGATGATGGCGAAACCTGCACCTCATTAGTTCTGCCTCATGCACAAATTCATGTTGATGGTCCTGTGAACAGAGAAAGTGAAATATTCCTCGATATTAAAAAAGGCCCAAGCCGCTAATAATAACACAAGCCTATAGATACACTTTCCTACTCATTAATTTCTGCTGCAGTGCTTGTTGTAGAGCTGAGTGGAAATAGGAGGAACGTGCATTTGATGTCTTATAAAAGTGTTGAATACAAAGTGTTGACAGAGTAAGAACTTAAACATGAACTCACTCATAAAAACAGAATCTCTTTGCTGTATTCGTTGACAGTCTCTCTCTAGTCATGGTTTTGAAATCTCACAGTATCAACTTTGCTGTAGCTTTCTTTTATGCCTGCTACGTTACTGCAGATACGGTCATCTGAGCCATTCGATTGGCCAGCGGTAGGCATATAGTGCACTTGATTTGCTCTCTGGGCCCGCCAGGAAGGCAGAGTTTGTACCTTCAGACACATGAAATGCGCGCAGGGCAGCTGAATCGAGCGCACCTAATGCCAATAGCCGGAGACGAATAAAAGAAAAAAAGGAATGCGAGGCTTTATCGTTGTTTTTTTTACAGAAATGTTTGGCGAACAATTAGGAATGCCTTGGAGATCTGCTCTAGAAAGTTGAGTGGAATTCAATCTCGTGCTTCTCAGTGGGCTAATATTTCTGCGCGGCAGTCCCTGGGGAGCTGCGCGGCAATCTCGGGGCTGCTGCGCGGTATAGAGGGAACATTGACCCCCACCCCCATACTCACCCGGCTATGCACAATGCATGTCAAAATACAGAATTTTGCAGAAAGACTTTAATCATATAAAACAATCAGATGTATTGAATTTTCCATGGGGCTATATTAAAGGGCACTTGATTTAATATAACAGGCTTTTAATTCAATATTGGTGCACAATTTCTACTTAAAATATCAAAGGGATGTAAAAGTGACTCATTTCGTGGAATGACCCAGTAGCAGCGTCACAGCTTCAGGTGTGAAGAGAATAACTAGGTGGATGGGATAACGGTTGTCCTATGTGTGTTCCAGGTTTCCTACCGCCTGTTTGAGGACACGGGACTGTTTGAGATGTTCAAGATTCCTGTCAGGGAGTTCATGAACTATTTCCATGCTCTGGAGAATGGATACAGGGACATCCCATGTGAGCAAACATTACAAGCAATCCTCTTTGTGAAAATGCTTTGTAATACACACACAGTTACATCAAGTACTCAAGAATATCAAAAACATTTGAATAAACTACCATAATCCAAACTCTATGCGGTTGTGGTGGCAGCACTGCCTATTTTATCCACAAAAGGAAGGTATTGGCATTATCAATGCAATCACAGCACTATTTCTGTTCCCTCTACCTCCGTCTCTGTATGGTTTGTGAGGTGTCATTATCACCTAGTGGACTAAGTTAGTATTACAGTTGGCATCTCCTCTCCCTCCCCATGCAGACCACAACAGGATCCATGCCACTGACGTGCTCCATGCCGTGTGGTACCTCACCACCCAGGCCGTGCCAGGCCTGCCCAACCTCCTCACAGACCACAGCTCAGACTCTGGTGAGTACACACACACACACGCATATGCAAATACAAGTGTACACACATGCACCGACACATACAACCGCACAACCACACACACGTGCGCACACACGAAAGAGGACAGGTATACAGTAGGCTTATTAACTTCTGCCCCACATTTTCCATTATGTACTATGGCTCTTTTCCTCCACTTGCCATTCCTTTGTGTTCTGACGGAGGCTAATATCCTATGTCTATAAGCCTACTGTTGTATGCCTGTTGCTGATGGGAGCCAGGTAAACCCATTCCCTCTGGGGCTCAATTAGCTGCTGTATATTCATTCATACACACCAACCACATCAGTAGGTTATGTGAAATGGCATAATACTGTTTAACATCCGCCTTACAGTGTGCAGACTGGAGGCAGTGGAAGTTCACAGAATAGTGTTTCCAGTGAGATCGACAGTTCTTTTACCTCATGTTCACTATGTAGAGCTATTACAAGAAGCCTATCTCCTCCAGTCATAGTTACACAACAGACACAATGTCAACACGTTGATCTTGACCTGTTTGATCTTTACACAACCTGTCTGACTGGGCTGGCAGATGGCCTACTCTGATGGCTGAGGTCTGATGTCTGTCTGGGGCAGGGTGACTGGCTGTCTGTCAGGCTGGCTAGCTATGTTGTTTTCTGATGCTCATGTCATCCCATACACACATTTGCCCACACATTAGCACGCTGACCGTACACACATGCAAGTGTGCCTGCACCCGTTGACCCAAGCGTTTTGTACTAAAGTTTCCGATTTGTCACGACAATGCCCATCACCCCTCACCTCATTTACCTGCGTATCTATCTCTCTGACCCTTCTATCCCTGTGTGTGTGTCCCCAGACTCTGACAGTGGGACTCCTCACCCCCAGCCATCCCAGCCATATAGGCCATACAGGGTTCCTGGTTTCTAAGATGTCTGCAGTGATGGAGGAGGGTTATGGCTGTCTGTCTGGCCTCATCCCATCCCTGGAGCTCATGGCTCTATATGTGGCTGCAGCCATGCACGACTACGACCACCCTGGACGGACCAACGCTTTCCTTGTGGCAACTAGCGCTCCTCAGGTAGGAAGAGAGAGAGGGAAGGAGGGAGGAAGAAGAGGGAGAGGATGGATGGGTTGGATGGATGAATGGATCTAACTAAAGGAACTGTAAAGGTGAAAACAAAGTCCCAGTAGATGTCCACCAATAAAACTTGAATATCTTGTGTTCTTCTCAGATCAGTGAAGAGATAACTGGAGGAAGACAAAGGGACCACTGAGATGCACCAATGATAACTAATGAGTGACATGTTGCTTTCTGTCTCCCCCGGTAGGCCGTGCTATATAACGACCGCTCAGTGTTAGAGAACCACCACGCTGCGTCAGCCTGGAACCTGTTCATGTCCCGGCCAGAGTACAACTTCTTGGGCAACCTGGAGCATGTGGAGTTCAAACGCTTCCGCTTCCTGGTCATCGAGGCCATCCTCGCCACCGACCTCAAGAAACACTTTGACTTCCTGGCAGAGTTCAACGCCAAGGTAAACACAACCGATGGTCTGGAGCTTCTATTCTATACATTTCTCTTTGATGTATGTACAACGTATCTACAGCTGAATGGACTGAAGCACTATGTCATTTTCTCTGATGGTTGACAAAACTTACAGTATGTCAGGAACAACCCTGTAGGAGAAGATCTGAGGTTCTTTTCCTCAGAACCTTTTCCCTTATGCTCTCCTCGCTTCTCTCTGATAAATTGAAAGGAGGTAGGGATAGAGGATGTGAGGACGCGAGAAAGACATTTGAGATTCATTTACCCCTTGCTTCTCTCCAGGTGGGTGCTGACGGCTGCTTGGGCATCGACTGGTCCAATGAGAATGACCGGTTGCTGGTGTGTCAGATGTGCATTAAACTGGCGGACATCAACGGCCCACTGAAACACAAGGACCTGCATCTACAGTGGACCGAGGGCATCGTCAATGAGTTCTATGAACAGGTGAGATCCAAATCGATCCTAGCCCCTACACCCTAGCCTCCACACCAAGGAGGGGCAAAGTACGGCCCACGATACATTTTTTTAATGTATTAAATATTATTATATTTGAGTTACGATTTTTGGCCTAAAATTACTCATTCCATGATATACAAACAACCTCCAATAGATGGCGCTATAGTCTGGCAGCACGCTCTGCATTTGGGCCTACAGTCAGATTCAGAATGCGCTTAGTCAACAGAGCCACTTCATTGCACAGGATGAGAGTACTGACATCAGAGACACTGCTCAACTTTTAATTTTTGTCAGAGGAATAAATGAGAACTTTGAAATAACAGAGGAACTTCTTGCAATGGATTCAATGATGGGAACAAGCAGGGGCTCTGACTTATATGACAAGGTGTCTGCCTGCTTGGAAAAAATGAATCTACCATGGAGCAAACTGACAAACGTCACAACAGATGGATCACCAAATCTAACTGCTAAAAACATTGGCCTACTAAAAAGATTACAAGACAAAGTAAAAGAAGAAAGCCTTAACTCTGAGGAATTTATATTTATTCACTATATTATTCATCAGGAAGCCCTGTGTAAACGTGTGTTAAAGCTGGAAAATGTTGTCAAAGTGGTTGTAAAACTTGTCAACTTTATACGGGCAAGGGGGTTTAGCCATCGTCAGTTCATTCAGCTGCTCAATGACACAGAGGCAGAGCACCAGGACTTGTTGTACCATTCAAATGTGCGCTGGCTAAGCCTGGAAAAGTATTTTGCCATGTGTGGGAACTGAGAGGGGAGATAGGTATGTTCCTTGAAACGGTTGGTAAAGCTGACGACTTCTCAGAGTTGAAAAACACAGACCGGCTGGGCGACTTTGCTTTTGGTGTGGACATATTGGGGCATCTGAACGATCGAAATGTCAAACTGCAGGGAAATTGTATTTTTGTGCATGAACTGTATTCCAACGTGAAAGCATTCAATGCCAAACTTATGTTGTTCTCCAGACAAATGAGCAGCCGGTCTCTCGCTCATTTTCCGACACTGGCCGCACTGAACGCGCCCACATCGCATTGCTACACTGAGACATACAGTAGCACTTTGATCGACCTGCATGCTGAGTTTTCCTGCCACTTCTCAGACTTCACCAAGATTGAGACTGAGCTGGAGCTTGTATCATGCCCCCTGTCTTTCGACAGTGAGAAAGCACCACCAGACACACAATTGGAGCACATCGACATCCAATGTGACAGTGCTTTGAAGGAGAAGTACAAAACAGCAACAATAGACCAGTTCTATGGCTCATTGAATGAAACAAAGTTTCCAAACATTAAAAAGCACGCCCAAAGAATGCTTGTTTTATTCGGGTCCACATATGTGTGTGAACAAATGTTCTCAGTCATGAATTACAACACAGGTCAAATTTAACAAATGCTCAGCTGTTCTGAGCATCTCTACATCAAAGTTGACACCAGACTTTGATGCCCTTGCCAAGAGAGGTGACCAGACCCATTTTTCACATTAAGACTCGAATAACCGTGACTGGGGTAGGCAAGGATTATGCTTTTTCATGGTGATGGTTAGGCAGTGAGAATTATCCAGCAATGCACTTGGATACACTTAATAATTAATCAGTCAGACTTGGGCTGAAGTGATTGGATAACTGTAAATATGGCTCACAATGGAGATGAGAATTGTTCCTTAATATGCTTTCAAAAACAGACCATTCCAAATTAAGCGGATGCTCTTACCATATGTTTCACTCAAATTTTAAGAATAGTTAGTTACATGTCTCCAGTCATATAATATATATATATATATATATATATATATATATATATATATATATATATATATATATTTTAAAGTTTGCATATTGTGACTGTAAGTTTGATTGTACTTTACAAGGGTAGAGATGCAGGATCTGTGTGTGTATTTGAGTGTGTCTGTGATGTTATAAATTATATCCATTTTGTGAAAATTGTTCACAAAAAACAAGGGTAGAGATGGTACAAGGGTAGAATTGTTCTGCAAGCATATGTACACCTACAGTACACTAGTAGTTGCGTGTCAATGTGAAAATGAATAAAGGCTTCACATGTTTTGTCACGCATATAGTATGTGGCCTTTCACTTGGTTTCAAAAACTCAATGTGGCCCTTGAGCCAAAAGGTTTGCCCACCCTAGCCCTTACACCCTAGCCCTTACACCCTAGCCACTGATTTAGATCTGAAACACAAGGACCTGCATCTACAGTGGACCAAGGGCATCATCAAAGATTTCTACAAACAGGTACATCTATTAGGTCTAGGTTTGCCAGAAGATACCGACCCTACTGTTACGCTTGTTTACACTGAGCTGCACTGGGGTCAGAATGCAATCATGGTTACATTAAGACACCATGGAGCCGGCGAGAGATATGCGTCAGAAAACATACCTCAGTGCAGGAATGGGATATGCCACTGTACTCTAAATTGTACTTTTATCCACACTGCTCCATCGAGAAGATTGAAATTCTGCTAGTTTTCCCGGAAAACTGCCCTTTTCGTCCTCATACTAGCTAGCAGTAGCCACCACTAGGGTGACCTGTATTGAATTGAATAAACGTTATTGATCCCCAGAGTGGAAATTGGGTGAATGACGATGACGAGATGTATACAGTTGCCTTGTTGTTGTTGTCTTTCTTGTGCACCCATGTCCCACCCCATGAAACTGCCTGATCATGAAATGGTCATTACACTACCTTCTGCATAAATAGCTATGATAGACTTGAGAGGGCGTAGAGGTGCAATTATATTTCTCCATCAAATGACATTGACATGTGTTCCACTTGGTACTAAAATAGAAGGCAGGCCACTTCATTAGTCCTTCACAGTACTGCTTAGTGTGAAGAGGTACAGGTGCCTGGAAACAGCCCACTCTCCAGTAACAATGCTGCTCATTAGTCAGAGAAGGACAGGTGCCTAGCAACCACACCACTGATCAGGAAGAGAGACTCTAAGTGGTCAGAGAGCGATTAGCGTGTAGGCAGAGATATTAGAGAAAGGAGGAGATAGGAATCCTATTGGGCAATGAATGGAGGAACGTATAACACCCCACTTAGCAGACTGTCAACCAATCTCATTCACGTTGTCATGCTGTGTCATGAGGTTTGCTAAGCTAATTGTCATGCAATCCCTTCTAAAAGTCAGGGTATGAGTCGAGAAACCTGCCTATTTTCCTCAAAAGTACGTAATGTCACGATTCCAAAGCTATACGATATTGCAGAGACAAAGTTAATTATCTCACATCTCGGAAAATATTTGTAATGTTGTACTTATTGTTCACATAATTCATGCTAATGTTAGGTTTTTGAACTAGCGCCCAATTGACTCCCATTTACTCCTTGAAGGAGTGCTCTTCTTGTCCCAGAATCGCCCAGAATGCACCGCGTGGCCCATTGACGACGCATGGGCAACGTAAACAATGGCCGTTAATACGATTCCAATGGAGTTTCCATCTCCTCAAAAGCATCTCTGGTGTAGTCCCATCATCAGAATAGGTAGAACCAATGGATACTCCCATTCAAATCAAAGTTCTCTGATGTGAAGTGTGGAATCGTGGCCATACTGGGTCTACCACTTCTGGAATATTCTATGCCAGTGTTTCCCAAACCTATCCTCGGGTACCCCAAGTCAGTCCACTTATTTGATGTATTTCAGAACTAAAACTTTTAACTAATAAGGGGCTTGATGATTAGTTTGACCATCTAATAAGTGGACTGGTTGGGGGTACTCAATGAGAAAAACACCATTCTATTCAGTGACCATTGAGGAATAATGTGAAATGTAGAACTACTTTTGTTCTTTGTCGTGGAAAATTATCACTATACTTATTAAAATTCAAAGTTCTTCCAGAGTTTTTGAAGAATCAAGATAGACTGCAGAGCAACTAACTCACAACACTCGGCCCTCAGTTTATATACAATGTCCATTCCTGCTCGTTTTACATACTTTTTAGCTTAAAACCCTCCCAGTTCAGTTCTCCACCATTGTTTCCAAACGTTCATCTTTTGACCGCTCCACCCACTCTCTTAATTTATGATAGTGGTGAAATCGGACTTCTCCTCCTATATTTATTTAGTTTGGATACAATGGTGGCCAAACTAAACTTTCTCATGTAAAAAATAACAGAGCCATCTCCCGGCTGTGCTCTGTTTATTCCAACACTCAGTTGGTCAATGAATATCCACATACCATTTATTATTCTCTTCCTAATGCAATATTGGGCATGCCCTTTTCTCCACCAGACATAGAAGCTTCAAGCAACCTCAATAAAGTCCCTTTCCTGACACTTCCTCAACACAGAAAAGGCTATTATTTGCAGGATTTCTTATTATTGTCCGATCACTCACACAGATGTGCAGCCACTCGTGCTTAAATGAATCAGACAGAATGACCAGCAGGACAAACAAATGAATCAGAAGAATTGAACAAATACATCAGATGAACAACTGAGTGAATTTGACAGATTGAATGCACGAATTGAGTCAGACCAGTGGACAAAGATGAAAGAGCTGCTTTCGCAAACCCAAGCAAGTCCAAACCAGTCTTGTACAAAACGAGTCAGACAAAACAATCGAACAAAACTAATTGATCAAGCTGACCAAATGAGCAACCTGAATGAGACAGAGGAAACATACAACTTAATCACAACTGAATGAATCACAGCCGCTCAAGCAAACCATTCACCCACACGAGATGAGCAGACCTACTCTATTTAACACTTTCTCTATATTTTGAAGCCCTAGTGGCTATTTCACAACCGTTCACCTACTCTGGATGACCAGCGCTACTTCCAATTTATGGTGTCACCTACTCAGGATGACCTACTTTTTTACCCGATTGGCCCTGTCTAATTATTGCATCACCACCACAGGATGACGCATCACCTACCCGAGCAGCCTCTAACAATGAATTCCACGTTAGAGCGGTAAATGTGGTACATAACAGTATAATCAATCAAGAGCCATCTCCTGACTCTGGCTCAGACTCCCTCCTTGTGGACCACTTGGTACCACACTCCACATCACTTAGTCTTATTGCCTCATCCTCTGTACCACTCTGTACCACACTCTGTCTTTATAATTAGCTATATTTTAACCTTTATAGTCTAGAAAGATTTACTATTTTTAACCTATGGTCTGATCTTGGGTACTACTCGGTACCATGGCTCTGTATGATCTACTGAAAAAATACCCAACATCTTCTGTTTCTTTATCAGTAATGTTGATGTAACACCCATCAATACACATTAATTGAAGAAGCCATCCTTGTATGTAGGCAATGTACTGCATAATGCATCATCTCTTCAAAATGGGACCCTGGCATTGATGGAGAGAAAATTAGATTGTCACTTGGAATGGAGAGTGTTGATTTATTGACAAACAAAATGCACAATATGTCACTCTACAGTGATAGGAGCACCAAGTGTGTAGGTTATCAGTGCTACTGTGATTGACAGTGCAGTCATCTTGTTTTTGTCTGTCTGTTTCTTCAAAGCCTGAGCTCACTCAATGATAAAACCCAAACCCTTGTTCAAATGTCAGATCTGCTTGCGTCCTTGGAGAGAGAGGGAGGAAGAGAGAGAGAGAGAGAGAGATAAAGGGGGAGGGAGGGAGAGATAGAAAGACAGGGAAGTGAAAGACAGGGAGGAGAGAGAGAGGAAAAGAGAGAGAGAGAGAGAGAGAGAGAGAGAGAGAGAGAGAGAGAGAGAAAGTGTTGTTGTACTGCAGTATAGCTGACCTACTTGTGTCATCAGTGACAGTCCTCATTCACACAGACAGCGATACAGCAGCAGCAACACATCAGATCACAGAGCACTCAACTGCACTGACTGCACTATCCCTCAAGACATGCACACAAAGAACACACACAGGAGAACACACACATAAACACACTAGGGTCAGTAGTAGGATACCCACAATCCTAACGCTGACCATTAATGCGGTGAAAACAGCTTAAAGATCTGACCCTGTATCAGTGGTTAGGTTGTAACTTTACCTTCTCCTTGACACCTGTCTTTAGAAGACGTTTAAATGGTTCAATATGCCCCTCTACTCTAGAGTAGCACCTCTCTCTCTTTCTCTTTTACCCCCTCTCTCTCCCTCTTCACTTCAGACACTAATTTCAGTCCACTGCACTGACTGACGAAAGCTCCGCTGGTTACTATGGCAACAGGAGACATTGCCTGCTGCGGTCCACTTTGAGTGTATAAGCCCCTGACGTCAATAGACACATATATATGTATATATATGTATCCTGCTATACATCACTTTACTATACATGCATATACATGATATTGTCAGTCAGCCAATGCTGGACCTATAGATGAACTTGCAGGCTTCCTCTAGATTGACGTGTGTGTTTTGCTGTTTATCTTCTTGACCCAGTTTGCAGCTTTGATTATTCAGTAGCTAATCCCACAGGCTCTGAGCGCTGGTGGTTGCTGGTTGCTGTTGGTTTACCAGCTTAGAGACTGGCTGGCTGGTGAATAATAAAAGGAGAGAGTTACAAATGGTGGTATGTTTTCTACCATCAATTAGAATGCAGTTGAATGTAGTTTTACATCATTTCTGATGGTCATTTTCTCTCTCTGTGTACATTTACATTTTAGTCATTTAGCAGACGCTTTTATCCAGAGCGACTTACAGTTAGTGCATACATAATTTTTTTCATACCCCCTGTGGGAATCGAACCCACAACCCTGGTGTTGCAAACGCCATGCTCTATCAACTGAGCTACATGTAGTAGTATCTTAGCTGTGACTCCCTCAGTGCATTTGATTCAAATTTCCCTCATATCATTGGCTGGTTGATTGATTGATTGACTTTCCTCAGATAGTGTCAAATGGTGATGTAAAGAGGTAATTCATATTATATTTACATTTGTCATTTAGCAGAAGTGCTTACCCAGAGTGACTTAGTTAGTGCACAACCATATATCACAGTCATAGTAAGTACATTTCTTCTCAATAAAGTAGCTATCAGCAAAGTCAGTGCTAATATGAAAAGACAAGTGTTTAATAAAGGTTAAAAAAAAATGGGGGGGGGGGGTGGGGTGGTGCTGTTGGATTAATCATAATACTTTGTGAAGAGGTGGGTTTTCAGACGTTTATATCTAACATTCTGCCATGTTTACCCATACTGCACCACTCCTCAGGGCGATGAGGAGGCAAGTCTGGGCCTTCCCATCAGCCCCTTCATGGACCGCTCTGCGCCACAGCTCGCCAAGCTCCAGGAGTCCTTCATCACGCACATTGTGGGTCCGCTCTGTTCCTCCTACGACTCCGCCGCCCTCATGCCGGGGAACTGGGTCGACCCCGCCGACGCACGGAGGAAGGAGGGAGAGGAGGTGGGGGAACGAGAGACAGAGGGGGAAGAGGAGGATACAGCAGAGGAGGATGCATCGACTAGCTCTGAGAGTTCCCGTAAGAGCATGTTGACGTTCATGTTGAACTTCTTTGAGTTGAAAGAACTCAGTTAACAGAAACCTATTGAAATCAAAGCTCAGCTTGAAATGGCCCAGGTATTGAGTTGTTGACATAGTGCCCATCGATAATGCATGTAGTGGATTTAAGCAATAAGGCCCAAGGTGGTGTGGTATACTGGCATGAAAAAAAGTGGATTGCCTGGATACAGCCCGTAGCCGTGGTATATTGGCCATATACCACAAACCCCTACGGTTACCAACATTAATAGAACAGTAAACAAGTAAGCCAAGTCAGCCAATAAGCATCCAGGTTTATAATTAGTAGTAGATGCAGAAGCCTCAAAAACACGAGGCTACCTGGTCTGCCTTAAGTGTATTTGGTCTTCCCAGGTTATCAGACCCTGCTTTGTAACCCCTGTCCAGAGGTTGTATAATAAGGGTTTGCATGTACAGTATAAGGGGATAGAGATGTAGTAGGTTTTGTTTTGAGTGATTGTTTTCTTCTTCTCTACAGAGAAGAACGTGGTGAAGCTTAAGAAGAGCAGGAGGAGAGTGTTCTGTCCCATCACTCAGCACCTACTGGACAACCACGAAATGTGGAAGAGAGTCATCGCCTCTGAAACCCAGGACACGCCAGATAGAGAGGCGCCTAACTGCCACAGCAACCCCGCCGAGCCAATCACAGCCATCCACGAGGAGGAGGAGGAGCCAGCCAGCAAGGAGGAGCCAATAGATGTCCAGGGAGAGGAGACAGAAGGGGAAGAGACGGGGCTTGCAGAGGAAGAGGAAGTGGCCAAGCAATAAGAGACTGCAGAGAAAAGGGAGGAGGAGCTGGAGTGAGAGGATTATCTTTGACCCTTGAAGATCAGGAAACTGAACATTTATCCAAACTCATACCCTCTCCCAACTAGACTTTCTGACTCGTGTCAGAAATTATACCCTATTCCCCATGTAGTGCACTAGCTGGCCAAAAATAGTGCACTATACAGGGATTGGGGTGTTGTTTGAGACGCAGCCCCTGATATTTGGTTGCCAGCAAATCACTTAGACACAACACTGTAGAAGTTTGGAGTAACATGTGCCTAAAGAAAACAGGGTGGGGGGAGGAGCTGAGGATGAGAGAGGGGTGGGATTTATTGTTTTAAATACATATTATATTGGATCAGGTTTCCATTTCAGAAGCCCTCTCCCTGACGAGGTACCCACACTGCAATACGGGCCCACAGAACACTGACCCCACTGCCAGCCTCAAGACACATACTAGTGGTCCGCATCCACCTGTCCGCCCCCACAGAACCAAGGTGTACACAGTGGACTGTACTGAATAGACAGTACAAGTACTAGCTCCTGAGGACAATGAGATGAAAGTGAGGGAAAAAGCTGTGTCTGCTCTTTGTTGGTTCTCAGGGAGCGAGGAGAGGACTGAGGACTGGGGAGAGGAGGGCCAGTGTTGATACAGAGTGTGCTCACACCCACGCATGGAGGCAGACACACACACACACTCACACACACACACACACACACACACACACACACTCACACACACAAACCCATCAGAAGATTTTCTAGCTACCCCAGGAAGAGGGAATGGGAAGTCTAACAGAGAAACCTGTAGCTCTGAAAAAGCTTTATACTCACTTGAGGAAAAAATCAAACACAGCACAGTGTTTCTTTACATTCTTCATCTCTCGCTTTGTTCCCAATATACCATGTTTTCTCTCTTTCTGTCTTTCATTCATTCTTTATTTCACTCACTCCACTTTTGTGTCCATCAGACTCTTTCTTCCTCTCACTCCTACACAGTTCCACAGGACTCAGGAACACAGACACACCCCACTGGGCACACACTGGTTGAATCAATGTTGTTTCCACTTCATTTCAATGAAATTACGTTGAACCATAGTGGAATTGGCATTGAATTGACATCTGCCCAATGGGACACAACACAGACCCCTCATCACAGTGTCCTTGTACCCTTTGTCATTGTTGCTTCAACCAACACAAGTCATTGTTCTTTCCTATGTTTGGTTTGTGGCTTTACTTTCTTATTGTTTTAACATTGGCCGTAAGATTTTCACTCTGTGGCGTTTGTGTTTTGTAAATATGGTGTGGGACTTTATTTTATTGCCTTTCTTATTTTACGTACCCTGTATCTTGATTATCTGCACCCGCAAAGGGAATCACTTTGAATCTGAATCACATGGTTTCTTATAGAGTTATATCTTTATTTTATTCAGAAGCCTAGTTACGTATTCCAATATAAGATGCTTTTATAAGTGCAGAATGTCTCTCTTCATAGCCTTGACCCAGTAGATGAATACATGTACCACCTCACTAGAGAAGAAGCATTCAAATTAGGATTAATCTCTGGATGTCAATCTGACAATGACACTGAAAAGGAGATTCACCTTTTTGAAAGGTTCTCTACAGCCGTCTTCATTGATAAACTCTTTCGTAGAACTCTCTCGTATAACTCTTTTGATGGTTAACTGACCTCTAGCCTGTCTTTCTGTCCTCTTTCACAATGGGATCTACCACCCAATACCCTGACAGGAAGTTCAGCCAAGAGAGCCAATGTCGAAAGTACACAGATTCTCTTTCAGTTTCTTCAGCGAGCATCATTCCCCATAGAGTGAGCCGTCTCACTCAGATCCAGAGAACCAAGGTTACAGTCGTAACCAGGCATTTTCTATTTAACTCTGGGAAATCATATTTTTCTCCATCAGGCTGAAATGATAACAGGCCTTGGGCTCCAATAGCTTTCAGCTAGTCAAGTGATCAAAAAAAGTTCATTGCTGAGTGGACCTTGGAAAGCCTTGAAGGAGATGTGGAGGAGCCCAGATGTTCAACCAAGAGAACAAGGTTACAGTTATACTCCACAAACCCTCAGAGAGACTGTGCTGCTCTATAGGACATGGTGAATCACTCATGAGGCTGAATGCAAAGCAAACAAAAGTATGAAGAAAGAGAATGCAGTAAAAAATATCCATGCCCAGAAAGACAGATGTCTGCTTAGTGTGTGTTTGCTGACTCCCACAAAGAAGTTATGTATTTATTACCTTTCTGATAGTTTTAACATTTCAACCATAGGTCCAACTGGTTCAACCAGGAACCTGTCGAAGAAGGCCAATATGGTTGAACTGTAGCTACCCAATTGTAGCTATCACATGATACTGTACCTGCAGCTATCCCATCTCTCCCTATACATCCAGCTCCATGACATGACCAGCCAGATCAGGCTCAAGCAGGTGTGCGTCCCGAATTGCACCCTATTCCCTACATAGTGCACTACTTTTGACCGTAGCCCTAGGGACCCTGGTCAAAAGTAGTGCAGTATATAGGGAAAAGGGTGGTATTTGGGACAAAGCCCACGTGGACTAGCCAGCCAGCCTGAAGCAGGCAGCATGCTGCAGTCAGCACATGGACCAGTGCTGGGCTCCACATGGCTGTCCATAGCTCCATAGCCCCATTTGATGTCCAGAGAGAGAGACAAATTGGTGGTGACAGAAGGATGAGAGGGAAAGGTAGAGGAGAGGAGAGAGGAGAGAGGAGATGAGAGAGAGCCATTCCGAGCAGATAAGACGGAATGGTATAGGAGAAGGAAGGGGATGAGAGAGAAAGGGAGATGAAGAGGGGAGGAAGAGAAGCGTGTGGGGGTTTTCTGAGGTTGGTCAGATGTCTCTTTTCTGTTCACTGATGGTCTCTGTGAAAACGTCACTTTGAATGAGGAGCCAATTAAAATGTACAGTTGAAATCGGAAGTTTACATACACTTAGGTTGGAGTCATTAAAACTCGTTTTTCAACCACTCCACTAATTTCTTGTTAACAAACTATAGTTTTGGCAAGTCAGTTAGGACATCTACTTTGTGCATGACACAAGTAATTTTTCCAACAATTGTTTACAGACAGATTATTTCACTTATAATTCACCGTATCACAATTCCAGTGGGTCAGAAGTTTACATACACAAAGTTGACTGTGCCTTTAAACAGCTTGGAAAATTCCAGAAAATGATGTAATGGCTTTAGAAGCTTCTGATAGGCTAATTGACATAATTTGAGTCAATTGGAGGTGTACCTGTGGATGTATTTCAAGGCCTACCTTCAAACTCAGTGCCTCTTTGCTTGACATCATGGGAAAATCTAAATAAATCAGCCAAGACCTCAGAAAAAAAATTGTAGACCTTCACAAGTCTGGTTCATCATTGAGAGCAATTTCCAAATGTCTGAAGGTACCACGTTCATCTGTACAAACAATAGTACGCAAGTACTGGATATTTGAAGCAACATCTCAAGACATCAGTCAGGAAGTTAAAGCTTAACAGCCAAGACCTCAGAAAAAGAATTCCACAAGACCTCCACAAATCTGGTTCATCCTTGGGAGCAATTTCCAAATGCCTGAAGGTACCACGTCCATCTATACAAACAATAGTATGCAAGTATAAACACCTTGGGACCACACAGCCGTCATACCGCTCAGGAAGGAGACACGTTTTGTCTCCTAGAGATGAACGTACTTTGGTGTGAAAAGTGCAAATCAATCCCAGGACAATCCCAGAAGATGCTGGAGGAAACAGGTACAAAATTATCTATATCCACAGTGAAACGAGTCCTATATCGACATAACCTGAAAGGCCGCTCACCAAGGAAGAAGCCACTACTCCAAAACCGCCATAAAAAAGCCAGACTACGGTTTGCAACTGCACATGGGGACAAAGATCGTACTTTTTGGAGAAATGTCCTCTGGTCTGATGAAACAAAAATAGAACTGTTCGGCCATAATGACCATCGTTATGTTTGGAGGGAAAAGGGGGTCGCTTGCAAGCCGAAGAACACCATCCCAACCGTGAAGCACGGGGGTGGCAGCATCATGCTGTGGGGGTGCTTTGCTGCAGGAGGGACTGGTGCACTTCACAAAATAGATGGCATCATGCAACATCTCAAGACATCAGTCAGGAAGTTAAAGCTTGGTCGCAAATGGGTCTTCCAAATGGACAATGACCCCAAGCATACTTCCAAAGTTGTGGCAAAATGGCTTAAGGGCAACAAAGTCAAGGTATTGGAGTGGCCATCACAAAGCCCTGACCTCAATCCTACAGAAAATGTGTGGGCAGAACTGAAAAAGCGTGTGCGTGCAAGGAGGCCTACAAACATGACTCAGTTACACCAGCTCTGTCAGGAGGAATGGGCCAAAATTCACCCAACTTATTGTGGGAAGCTTGTGGAAGGCTACCCGAAACATTTGACCCAAGTTAAACTATTTAAAGGCAATGCTACCAAATACTAATTGAGTGTATGTATACTTCTGACCCACTGGGAATGTGATGAAAGAAATAAAAGCTTAAATAAATCATTCTCTCTACAATTTTTCTGACATTTCACATTCTTAAAATAAAGTGGTGATCCTAACTGACCTAAAACAGGGACATTTTTTTACTAGGACTAAATGTCAGGAATTGTGAAAAACTGAGATTAAATGTATTTGGCTAAGGCGTATGTAAACTTCCGACTTCAGCTGTATGTCCGTCCGTCCGTCTGTCTGTCTGTCTGTCTGTCTGGTTCTCCTTTGAGATTCGACCCTTGACAGCTTGTTGTAGCCGTTAATATTATCAGGAAAAAGTATTTGTAGGATGACAATGTTTAAAGCAATACTGACACATATTCCGTATCTGGAGCATTTGAGTTGTACTTCGTGAGCTGCGAAGTCAAGGGAAACCATGTCTTATGTAACACTGCAACTCGAGTTTATGTACCAAATTCTTGTATTTCATCCAAATCATGTGCGTCTCTCTCTCTCTCTC